TTGGGAAGAAAGCTATATCTTGGCTGAAGCAATTGAGACTAGCCCGCGAGATGTCGTATATGACAAAGTGAAAGAAGCAGCGCTGAGGCTGGAAAGAAATTTGCATAGAAAGGAAATCAAGCAGGACAACGATATGCATACTAAAAGGCTTTATGGCAATCAAGCTTTAAACAAACAGTGGTCTGCTTCAGAATCGGCTGATCATGGTGAAAGAAAGGAAAGACTGACCATGAAAGGCAAGGAGAAAAGTAATCGTTGCTTTGAATGTGGCAAATCAGGGCATAAAGCGAAACATTGCACACTGCAGAATGCCACAAAGGACAACGTAAGAAGAAATGAAAAACACAAGGCATCTTCGTTCTCCACTGCTCTTGGTAGGTGGCTATGCGCAACCACAGGTGCCAGGAAGAGTGCTGAAGAATTTGTTGGTAAGAAGGTAGTTGTGCCAGCAAAAGTGATGAATATGGAAGTAAACGCACTTATAGACACTGGCTCCGAGGTATCTATAGCATCATTAAAGCTGTTCACGAGGGCCAAAGAAGCTGGAGTCGATCGATGCTTATGTGGAGAGAATCTCAGGAGTAGTATCTAATGCTACGATACGCGACGCTTCTGGGAAGAGAATAGAAATTTTGGACGCAATCAAGATGCCCACGGAATTGTTTGGCAAGTCCAAGAAGATTCCGGTATATGTTACCAGGTCATTAGAAAATGATCTGATCTTTTGAACAAATGTTCTATGCGACTTTGGTGTCAAAGTGATTCAAAGTGATACCAATAACGATTTGCTTAGGGATTTGGTAAAAGATCCCTTAAATGTAGTAAGATATCGAACTGATAGACTACTTGGAGGAAACAAGACGAAGCCGAAAGTAGGAAGGAGACTTTCAAAAGGCCTAGAAAGAAAAGAAGAAACAAGGCGCACAAAGCGCAGAAAGATGAGGCAAGATTCCAAGAATCAAAGCGGAATCTTGGACGAAACATTGACCGATATGAAGCAACTGACGAAAGCTATGAAGATGCACAAGCTGAAAAAGAAACAACAGCCAAAGAATAGATTCGTCGATATCAAACGAATAAGCGTGAAACAGCAAGATGAAGCTGATTTCAACGCATCAGTAAACAAGAATGTTGTGAAAAAACTGAAGAGTTTCAATGCGAAGCGGTATGGAAAAGTGCGCAGAATTTTTGGATACCCTCGCGCATTTTGGGATTTTCTTGAAATGGTCGACTATGTCAGAGCACATCCCTGCCGAACTAGTCGCATAAGTGGAAAGACACAACGAAATCAAACAGAAAGGAGTGAACACTGGTTGCGGTGTCAGAAATCTGGAAGAAGATCGCGACAAGGATTGCATGGACATGGACCGCCTGGACAAGGATCACATGGGCAAGGACCGTTTGACAACGACCACAAGGAAAAACAAGGAAGAAGAAATCAAGATAGATCATTGTTGTTATTAAGTTGTTAAGTGTTAGTAGTTGTAGCTAAGTTTAGTTAGGTTAGGTTAAGTTGAGTTAGGTAAGTTTTATTAAGTTTAATAGTTGTTAATAGTTATTAATAGTTGTTAAGTGTCGGGACGCCACTTACGATAAGGGGGGACGTGTAGCCTCCAGGCGCCCGGCCTAGGTTTTTTGCCACACTATTAGCCTTGAACCCAACGTATGGGATGTACGAATCACCATATTCTCGTGTTTCGGTTCTAAGATGTCCAGTTCGTTCCTCAGTAGTTTCTCGACAGTCACCCATTCACTGTTCTGTATTAGCTCTTCTGTACTGCTTTTATTCTCTATATTTGTATATCAGCTTCTTCTTGTGGTTTGTCATATTATTGATAAACCATTATATTTTTACCAGTTGTTCTGCTAAGTCAGTGGAACCTGCGGTCTAGACCGTCCTACCGCCACTCTTCTGAACCGGCTACGATCCACGCAACTCACCCGGGACTGCGTCATCGAGTCATTTAACGTCACGTCCCTGTATACAAACGTGTCAAATGATGCTGCACTTCAGGCTACCTACGAGCTTCTTTCGGAGCATCAGGCCGCTCTTGCCTTACACGGTCTCAGTATTTGCAACATTATGACTCCCTGCGTATATCAGCGCCGCAGCTCGCCAAACCTGCAAAATGGGCGGAGTGACCAGCTCTGTTACGTACTTTCCGAAGCGGATTTCTCGCTTCGGAAACTTTCTTTTGCGGGGAAACTTGGGGGTTGGCCTTGTGGGGCCCACATTAGTATGCCATCGAAAAATCATAAAATCATAGAATATACCTTGAGAATCTCATACTGCGAGTCTTAGAGGTCTAGACTGACAGAGTGGAAGGAGGCGATCAAAGGTAGGCTGAGCAAGTCAAAGAGCCTACAATCCGTTTGTAGACCTCTGATGACGACGACATTGTCGAAAGTTAAGGTCAATAAAGTCTCCACCACAGAATCTGAAGGCACATTTACTGACAGTTACTCTACTAACATCTTACCATGCCCAGATTCAAAGACAAAAGAGCATTCAATTTCACTAATTATGTTTTTTGGGGATGGGGTCTCTTTTTGTATATAGAATTTCATATTCATAATTTGAGGACGTTTCAACTTGAAGGATTTTCTAAAAAAGTTCCTCAAAATTGATTTTGAGAGAAGAGCTATGATTTGTAGTTTACAACATTGTTATGTGTGTTCTTCCACTTCCAAAACGGTGTATATTTTTCAAGAGACTCCAAGCTCGATTATTGATAAATCTTGGAATTATGTAGATATTCGTATATGTTTACTTGAGCCGATCACCAAGATTGTAGCACGCTTCATTCAATCAGGCTAACGTTTCGGTGCATCCACCTTCGTCGGAGCCTGGAAGGTCGTCACATTAGTGGTTTAGTCTCCCAAACACCTTGTTCAAGCCAAGGCTACATTCAACGTCAAGCAAGGCTGAAAGCGTGACGGAAACCGTCGTTCATGCTCACCTCGGCTGTCTTCGAATCGGGGTCGAGCCACCACTAAACACAGCGTCTGCACCATCAGTAGTAGTAGAGACTAGTATAAGTGCCTTATATAGATGAATCTAATCTCAGTAGAGATCAAATCCGCAAAGGGACTGATATGCGATTAGATCACTATTCATGGTAACGCCCTCTTCTTTGCGGTTCATTGCAGGAGCTTTGGATGTTATCCAAAATGCTTTTAGCGTTTTACGAGGAATTATTTCGGGTTCACGCATTAAGATTGTGACGGCTATATTAAATTGTTGATCCGAGTGATACTCTTTGCGGGCGCCTAGGGGGGGAGGCGTTCGGTTTAAATTTCGTAAGACCATCTAGGTGCTCTTTGATTCTCACGCAAAGAGGCCTGCCAGTCTGTCCTATGTACTCTTTCCCGCAAGTTTGACAGGTTATTTGATAAACTACTCCTGCCTCCATGCAATCTCCTGATTAACCAAATGGACATACGACACAATCGGTATTCATGCATAGTCGATCGTAAGAGCGATTACGAATTAGTTGTTTGTTAAGACTAGGAGGCGGAATATCTACAATACTAACGGAGTCATTAAGGCCTGCATGTTTTAAGTTTTTCCTTATCGCTTTACTGAATTCTTCAGACATAAAAGGAACACAAAAAGGTATTTTTGCTTCATTCTTGCTTGTGCGTATTCGTGCCAAGTACGTTTCGATAAAAGTCCGTGGGGTTGCCATTGGACTTCGCACTCTGTCTGGCAAAACTTGACGATGTAGCGCGTTCTTGATCGGAGGAAACTGCTTTTGCAGTCCTAAGCATACTGGAAATTACCGACCTTTTGGTAATTTCTAATATGTTCAGGACTGGTGTGGATTTTGCTACTTTCCGACAATCTTTCGTGAAATTTACTTAGAAATACTGGATGAAGCGAATTTTCGAGAGGGAAGAGGATGTTTCTTATTATTCGAATGAGTCTCTGGAAGAAGAGTGATTTGCAGAGGAAATTGGTAATTCAAGAAAAAACTTTCATAATCTCGCATGGTTATGACAGGGCTTTCAAAAAATGGTGAATGATTTGTGAAGCTTATCCCTCGAGCATTTCTCTTCCTATGAAATAATATTCTACAATGTTTTTAGAAGGAGTAGGAATTTTATGTAGAGACATTTGTAATCAAAACTAAGCTTGGTATTGTATCTGTCCCTTGCCCGAAAAGATTTTCAAGCGGGATATATCTTTCAGCCACATGTCCTCTAATCCATGACTAGGATACTGAGAACGTTATGCATAAGTCACTAGCAGATTCATAATTGTGCTCTAATGCGTTCCAGATAATATATTCTTAATTCGTAAGAGATATTCAAGCTCGTTGAATATTGTGTGCCACAGCAATTTCGAGTATCTTAGTCTTAGACTGAAGTAAAGGCTACTGCATGACGAAGGCGCTGAAGCGGTATTAGTTGAGCGGGCGCGAACGCGGCGCGCGCGTATCCTCATGTAATTCCTGCGCATCATGCGCTCTGCGGCCAATAAAGCTGAGTTCGCGCCCGAAGATATTGCGCCTTCGTCATGCAGCAGCCAGTGGCGTACCCAGGATTTCGGCTCGGGGGGGGGGGGGGCGCGACAAAAAATTTTTTCTAAAGAAGGTGCGTGGCGTTAGCCACGCACTCCGAAAAATTTTTTGGGGTGCTTCTCAAAATTTTTCCGGGTCCCCGACCCCTAAAATCTGGAAAAAGGGGGCGTGGCGTCAGCCACGCCCCCGAAAAAAATTTTTTATAAGGCTAAAATGAATTTTTAAAAAATTTAAAAAATTATTTTAATTATTTACAAGTAAAAACAAGTCACTTGCACATTTTTATAACCCATGTAAGTAACTTTCAAAAATTTCGCGACCCGTTCTCGGGGGGGGGGGGCGCGCGCCCCCCCCCCCGCCCCCCCCCCCCCTCGGTACGCCACTGGCAGCAGCCTATTTCTTACGCTGATTGCTCGTTCCAGCTTTATTCATACGTGGTTCTACTTCCTGTGGTTATTACAAAACAAAATTCGAAGATTTATTGACTTGATTTGCACAACGAACATTATTTAAATGGTTTCATTAACATCTCCTCTTCTTTTTTACTTTAGAAGGTTTAACCGCTTTCCGATCGGATGCCTTTGCAGCTTCACTACTACCTTTATGTTCCTGCTCAGCACTGGGTTCTGCACAAATATAGAGTTCAGTTAGCAACACCTATATAACAGTCGAGAGTACCCCTTAGTGTATTGCTATAAGGAGTTTCGGCTGAGATACTGCGCGTAGAGGGTCCTGGCACGCGAGTAGGCTGAATCAAGTTTAATGAAATGTTCCGTGCAGAGGCAGAGAATTGCAAATCTTACAATTGCAAGAGCTGACTTTGGTTCTTCTCTTCTGCTTTCATTTAGAGTCTTGAGGATAGCTGTCATTGTGGTACTAGATAAGCTTTGAGTAGGTGCTTCACGAAAATTGAGTATTTGTGTATCTCCAACTTTGCGCTGGAATGCAAATATTTGTGTGCTTTAATTAATAAAACGATTATACATACTACTGGCAGATCAGGCATCTTCAGAGAGACCATTCTTCTTTTCTCTCCACTTTGGTTAGCACCTGCATCTGTAGTTTCGTCGTAAGCAGGTGGAGCTTCAAAGAGAAAACGGGGGCCACTAAAAGCTCAAAGAAAAGTGCTGAGCACATTAAGCAAACTAGTAGCAGATTGCTGTGAATTCGTCGCCTTAAATGTTACAGCTCAATGGGTTGTGATTGCGAATACTGGTGATTTGAAACCAAAAAGACTTTAATGAGGCTTACCGCCAAGTTTGGGCAGGCGATTTAGAATCCCAGTTTCTGTGACTGCTCAACCTCTCGGACCCGGCGGCGGCAGTTGTCACCATTAGCGTTGGTTGTATTCAGCACAAGAGAGTATGGCCCGTAGTAAAGCTCAGTCAGGAGAGATGATTTCTTATGAGGCTTTCATGTGAGGTTCCATCAGTAACGTGACGACCGCCCACTTCCCCATGCTATAAGTACGCAACGTCACCTAAGAAATAAACCTCAGGTGAAGTTTGGCAGGGAGATCATGGGAGATGATATGAGCGATGATCTCTGAAATAGGACGCCAACGGGGAGACTCAGAAAAATTTTCCGTAATTTGCTCCGTAGTAACTTACGAAACACCTCATGGCACCTAAATAATGCAGACAGATTAGCGCAAAACTACTCCGGGGCAAAACCATTCCGGGGCATAAGCATAAGGAGGCTCAATGCACAACTGATCGCAGCCAAGGAAGGAGGAAAACAGTTTTTCCTTTCTTGTTGGTTTTTTTGCTTCAATTTCTTGAAAGATGCACAGATTACAAATTCATTTATCTGTCTAATTCTTTTCCTGTTGCAAAAATTTTTTTTTGCAAAAAATGCCATGACTTTGTTCATTCGTCCATTTGCTGAGTGAAATTCTTGATAGCGGCCATCATCGATGACGATGGCCGCTGCGAAGATTGCGCTGCAAAGTAGCAAATTATGTGCCGCTAGCCTGTTTCGCATTGCAGCGGCTGCGGTTGCAATCGCGTCATTTACCCATCATAACTTATAATAACGGGCTAAGGATGTTTACGTGACTTTGTGTGTCTCTGTGTGTGTGTGAGAGTGTGTCTGTTACGAAATTCGTAGAGCGTGTTCCAGCCAACCTCCTGGGCTCAAATTTTGCACAGTGCATGCTACCCGCATGAAAGTCCAGCATGCAAAATCACGACAAGATTCATTGAGTGGATCCCTCAGAAACTGCGCGCCAAACGGATCCACTTTGCATTTGAGCCGCAAAATTGGGTCCGTAATTCCACTTTTTGCAGAGTCGTGGATGTTTATGTCATGTAAATGTGCAAGCGATGAACTTAGGCCCAAATACGTGATCAAAAGTCCATTACTTTACAAAAACGACGCCAAAAAGTATTGGTTGCGTAAACGGTCATTTTGCCAAGCTTTTACCAGGACATTTGACAAGATTTTTGACAAAGATGTAGCTCACGGTGGCTGCTGTTCTTATTGCAACTGTCAAAACCATGGGAAAGCCAAAAACCTATAAAAATTTGCGTTTGTTCTCCTGCAAAATGTCTCACCCACGCGAAATCACCGATTTCACATAGAAAAGCTTTTGGAATAAGTAGTTGTTTACATTTTGTCCGTGATAGTCGGCAATGCTCGGTGAGTTTCAATGCCATCATTATGCGAGAATGAGTAGGGCCTAGATAGTAAAGCCAGTGCGAGCCTCTGCGAAGCAGAGGTGACGCACTGGTTTAACCATATGTGTACAAATGGTACTGATGCTTTTTCCTTGAAAAGGCGCACCCTTTTCCATCCACAAAGCGATCAGCATCAGATCGATAGATCGCCGGATGCTGGACTGGGCGCCAAGGGGTCAACTCCGTTGCCTCAGGGGAGATACCCTGGCGGGGTTTTGGGGTTTTCTACGCACCTATCTCTACTATACGCTGCTAGCCCCTATAGAACCCCTTTGCCTTTCGATATGCTATGCAACCACCATCCCATTTACTGGTGCATTTAGCAATACGCAGACACTTTTATGTATAAACAAATCCAAAGAAAGACAATAACTTGCCCTTTTTTGCATACTTATCAGCTATCGCGTCAATCGAGAGCAAGCAACATACAGACAGCAACTCAATTTGCTGCTGCATTAAATCGGTAACGAGATTCTTGAAAAAATCAGTCTAAAATTTGCTCGTCTTCAAGGTTAGTAAACCTACACACTGAGATGCTGTGCTGTGCGAATCGAAATGTTGGCTGTAACTCATACCGATTTTGTGCCACAGATACACACAGACCCAAGCAAATGGCTGCCAACCCGATCATTGAGTTGAAAGCTAAGTTTTGTAACTTTTTTATGCTGTTAGAAGACATTGTTGTGCCGCCATAGTTCGCCCGCTGCCCATAAGCTGGAATTACGTCGTAATGTAACTAACGAAGACAATGTGCAAAAGCAGAGATTGGTGAAAATTTCGTAAGTTCAAGATAGTATGCGGGATTTTCGTCTGATTCTCTTCTTCTGCACATTATCTTCATCAGTTATCTACGATCTACCTTCGACTAACGGGCAGCGTAGTAAACCGACCGCGAAACCTGATCATACAGTCTTCTACGTCTATGCATTTTTCGAATGGTGAAACTTGGAATCCCACAGATAGTATTCAAGCGATGTGCTAAAGAACTTGCTACTCCTCTCTCCCACATCTTTAACATCTCCCTCATGTGTGGTGAGGTACCAAGTATCTGGAAAGAAGCTATTGTCACAGCCGTTCCAAAAGTCAGTAAACCTCAAGTGGTTTCTGACTTCAGACCTATTAGCATCAATCCCGTCCCATGCAAAGTTTTGGAAAAAATAATTCGTGATAAACTTTTGGAGTGGTTCGAAAGATTCAAAATTATTCCCCCAGAGCAACACGGCTTTGTTAATGGTGCTTCTACTGTTACCCAGTTGATCGATTCAATTCATGATTGGGTCAATGCTATCTTGTTGGGACAGAAAGTGGACGTTATCTACTTTGATCTTTCCAAAGCGTTTGATCGTATAAGTCATGCTAAATTGCTGTATAAAGTTGAGCATTATGAGGTCAGAGGCGCCTTACTTGATTGGCTCAAGTCATATCTCCAATCTAGACATATGACTGTCCGCGTTGGGAATGAACACTCTGAGCATTTTCCTTGCGTTAGTGGGCTTCCTCAGGGAGGTGTTCTGTCTCCCCTTCTATTTACGGTCTATACTGCTGATTTACCCCAGCTGTTGAAAACTCACCCCGGAATTCATGTACTTATGTATGCAGACGACACAAAAATATACGGAATGTACAGCAATGAAAATCGCTATGAGATCCAAGAAGCTTTACAACATTCTATTGATCTCATGATTGCCTGGTGTACAAAGTGGGATATTTCTGTTAACATTGCCAAAAGTTCCGTTTTTCACATCGGTGGCGAAGAACAAGTGCATTATCAGCACAATGGAATAGCACTGATTAACAAAACAGTCGTCAAAGATCTGGGAGTTCTGATAGATTCGAGATTGAAACCGGATCTACAGATCGCCTCCGTCACCTCCCGTGCTTTTTCCATCTTATACACAATCTTTAGAAACATCAAATCAACTGATCAAAAAATTTTGTTGAGACTTTATAAAGCCCTTGTTATTCCTGTTCTCGAATATGCGACTCAAGTTTGGAGCCCCTCCCTGAGGAAGCACAAGCAGGCATTGGAGAAGGTTCAAAAAGTGTTCACAAAACTGCTTTTCTACCGCTGTTTTCCTAATCCAGCTTACCCCCGATTACTTCCTAGTTAAGAAGAGAGGTTGAAAATTCTTGATCTTGAAAGCATTACATATCGGAGAGTTGTTCATGATATCATATTAGCTTTCAGGATTTTTAGGGGTGAAACCAGGTTGAGGCCTTCCAAGTACTGGGTTTTCAGACCTAGCCATGGAAGGACTAGTGCATTCTCTATTTATTTCCGTCACTTTGGTGGGCGACAACGATTTCGTTCCTTATTTGAGCAGGAGTTTTTTGTTCGCACATCAAAAATGTTACAAGAATTACCACACGAACTTTTGGCATGCAGTGATAGTTCCTCTTTCAGAAGAGAGCTTAAAAAAAGAAGATTGAATGACTTTTTTGCAGGTTCAACGTACCTTACTTCCCTTCTTTTATGACTGCGCGGTTACAACCAGACATGTGCAATGAGCATGATTGGGTTACGAATATGCACTGATTAGCAGCCAATTTATAACTTTGCATATGTTGAACCCAACTGCTTTTGAGCCTTTTACTAACACTGTTCTCTTCATCATGTGGTTCAAGCCTGGTCACATCTATATTTTAGCCTGTTTCGCACAGCTTGCTTGCTTTGATTGCTTGAAGATCATATTATGCTTATTCTTGCTTTGGAGTTGGGCTCTCCTCGGCAAACTGGTTGAACTATAAATTCCGGTTTGTTTCTTGGAAATCTTTTGAGATCGTGGCTAGCAAACGAAGGGGCATGGGTACCATCTCCTTAGATAACAATTTGTATAGACTCATTCGTTGTGCAGTACTTGACGATATTCTGTTTTGCACATATGGCAATGCTCATGGAGTTTTGGGCTCTCCCCGGCAGGCCGGTGGGTATGTACCCGCCGTCGTTTGCTTGTTTGAATACTTTAAGATCGTTTGCTGGCTAACGCGGGGGCATGGGTTCCATCTCTGTGGATATAACTCATCATTGACATTCGTAATATCCAGCAGTCTTCTTGCAAGCTAAGTCGTTATTCTTTAGTTTTATGAAGTCTGGGCCTGAAGCATATGATGTTCTGTTGTTATTCGTGCTTTGTGTAAAACTAACAATTACACTGTTTGTTTCTGTTTTTTTTATGGTACGCCTTGAGCGTATTTAATGAAAATGAAAATGAAAATGAAAATGAATTTTACGGAATTCCTTGAGTCAAGCTCTTAGAACCGCAAATGTAGGCGGAGCGCTGCTAAAGGTGAACTCAGTGAAAAAGGATTCTAAGTTGAAGATAGATCGAGGTCTGGTAATCTGAGAGGTCCAACAAGTTGAATGTGTCGACGCCTCGAACATCCGTCAATGATAAGGTTTGGTACTGTCGACTTTGAAGAAACCTTGCAAAGTGAGATAATTTGATTTGCTGAGCGCCAATAGCATATTTTGTCATGAAATGTATCGCACCAAATACTTCGATTTTGCAAGAAAGGCCTACCACACGAAATGAATACCTTTGGTCAGCGTGTCGAAGAACGGCTCAATTAAAATGATTCAAATCTGTGATATCCTGCGTTTTGCCCCTAAACTGCCCTTGTATACTATCAAAACCTCCAATGCGATTGTAATTCGCAGCCTGTGTAATGAAAAAAAGGGTAAGCCTTACTTTCTGTTGCAAAACTTAGTTCCAATCTGACATAAGTCATGATAAGATCAATTATCAATTTGAAACTACCCGATATCATCCCATATGTCTTCCCTCAATATGACGTGGATTACGAGGGATGAGGCGCCGCCTCGCCTCGGGCTTGCGCCACGTTGCGTGCGCATCTTCGGCGTGATGTGGCAACAAGAAGAACGTGGAAAAGCCTGCGCCACGTTGTGTTGAGCGCCACGTCGCGCCAAATGATGCGCTCGCAACGTGGCGCGAGCCCGAGGCGAGGCGGCGCCTCATCAAGCCACGTAATCCACGTCATGCTGAGGCAAGACATTTGGGTTGATATCGAGGATAACTTGACAACAGATGATCAGCAAGTTGGAGCTTGTTGGAGTTTGCCTTTACCTCGTCGTGATGGTTCACTACTTCGAATCGAAGATAGAACAAATTGGAGCTTGTGCGAGTCCGCGGGTATCGTAGACTTGAATAGATTATACTTGATACCAGTGGCGTACCGGGGGGGGGGAGGAGCGGCGGAGAATGGGTCGCGAAATTTTGGATTACCTATACGAGTCATGAAAATGCATGTGACTTGTTTATACTTGTAATTGATTAAAATAATTTTTAAAATTTTTTCAACAATCCTATCCCTACAAAAAATTTTTTTCGGGGCGTGGTTAACGCCACGCCCGCTTTTTCTAAAATTTCGGGGTCAAAAAAATTTCGGATTGCGTTGTCGCCCATTCCCGCCCCCCCCCCTCCCCCCGAACCGAAATTCCGGGTACGCCACTGCTTGATACTTACTCAGACAATTCGCAAAATACTTCCGGTGGGCGTGAAAATCTCTGACACTTGGCGCTTTTAACCATTGCAGCTGTCATTTGGGCGGTGCATGGGGCTTTCCACTCGCCTTGACGTCACAGAAAGCCGAGAAAAGACTTCCGGAGAACGTGCTTCTAAGATGCTAGAGATTTGCGAGTTCACTAGGGATCGAAATTGATTTCTAGGCCACAGCACCTCCGGAGCACTTATAGTATGCAACCAATTCGCTACGCTGATACTCAGCATATGAATTTTCGAAAAAAGGATGCTCTCGTTTTCGACTTGCTCTGAGTCGTTCTTCTCGCGGTCCTTCCTTCATTCTTGCGTTCTTTTCTGCATTTTCTTGTTGCTCATCGACGTCTTTGGTGTTTGTATGTTTTGACTCCTTTAGGCTGCTCAGACCGTTTTTCTCGCGTTCTTTTCTTCATTTTCGTGTTGCTCATCGGCGTTTTTGGTGTCCGTGTTGTTTTGAGCTTTTTCTCTTTAGGTTTTAAGTTTCAGATTTTCGTGCGGATGCACTTGAAACCATCACCTTTGATGTTCAAAACATATGCACTTCAAACCATCACCTTTGATGTTCGTCTGGCTATATGTGAAGTAATTTCCGAGTGCATGTATAATGTATTGTAGAGTAGAGGAATTCTAAGAGGAATGTATGTCGTTTCGTAAAAGAGTCAGGTTTTCTTTCCACTGGTCAGTGTCATCATTTGTAACGTTTATTCTGTGGGCATTCTTCAAACCCAATCTTTGGAGTTTCAAATAATCCAAAATCGTTTTGAAACGAGTTAAGGGGAAACAACTTGAACTTGTAGAAAGAGCCTGACGAGATCTTGATTGAGTATGAGGTTTTCGAGGAATTTTTGACTTGTTCGATTAACAGGGCCAGTAGAAGAACAAAATGCGGTTTTTCGAGCCAAAAGGGGGTTTTAGATGTTTTTCGGCGGGGAGGGGGGGGGGAACTTCGGGGCAATCTGTATATTGGCTGATAGGGCTGAAAAAGCTCTATAGGCCAGTGTAGAGCTTTCCATAATTTTGGTTTTTTGCAGGTCGTCGTCGCTTGCATGGATTTGGCGTCGGGTGGCGCCACGTCAGTACAGCCGCACCAACTACGGTGTAGCTGCACGGCGCCAGCCATGAGAAAAGGCTATGGAAGGTCTTTTTTTTGCATTTTCGATGTTTTTGTTCTTTTTGTGCTATTCCGAGGGGCGGAGATCGCTCGCAAACGGGTTTGATCCCTGCCCTGGCAGTTTTCCAGGTCGGCCTTGCCAAATCGAGGCTTGAAGCCGCCCTGAGGCCCGATAAAGGGCTTTCATTTCCGAAGCGGGATTTCCGGACTCGTATGAGCACGAGGACAGGAGCGACAGGAGCCTGCACTTCAAGCATTTTCATATGCGAGCTATATACATGTGCTATTTGATGATTGATTAGCTTATGAACGCTATAGAATTGACTGTTAGTGAGGATGTAGCTAAGGCGGCGCACGTTGACAAGAAAGTGGTAGAGATGCTAGGCAATGATTCTGCGTAAGCTTCTTTTAAACAGAACTTTTTCTAAGACCTTCTTTAAGCAAGCTTCTCAGGAGCATATCTTCTTAAAGGCAGCGGTTCGGCAGATTTCACTTGAAGTTTTTTGGTTACTTGGGGTTATTCGAGGCGCTGACTCCGAAAATCCACTTTGATGAGCGCGGATGTCAAAAACCACCATTTTTCAAGGCCTCCCATTTTGAATTTGGACGAGTGGAGCCCGTCCCGCCATGGTTAGAGAGGCAGAATCGTTGCGGGACCCCTCGCAGTTATAATATTGCGGCATGCCTTTTCCGACGGGTCATTGAGAATCGCAAGCTCGTCCGCATGTACTAGAATGGCTTGAGCGTAACGGCCTTAGGGGCAGTTTTCTAGGCAAGGGCAGCATGCTGTGCGCTCAGATCTGCTCTGTTCTCATGTTTGGCGTGCAAGCAAACTTCCATGTTAACATCTCGGGAATTTCGGTTTTGGCGAGCTGCTGCCTTTAAAGAAAATGGTAGAAATAGTTTGTATGAAGCGAGATCCCCACTTTTTGATTGACTTGTGCTTTCAATGTGTATAAACCAACAATACTGTTTTTTTTGCTTATGTTTCCAAAGTCGTCGAAATATGGATAGTGCGTACTTACGGCAACTAGATCAGTTTAGAACTTGCATCTTAATCTCATTACTAAACCAACGATGTTTGCGTGCTGCATACTATAGGATGTTTTGAAACAAACAGAATAGGCGGACTTTCTGCTCATTAATTGGACTGCAGGAAGATGGCAGAAAGGCTCACATCCTCGGAAGTATGCACATATACTGCAAGCAAAGAAAGTATTTTGGCATTCAAAAAAAAGATTTCCTTCACGACTGCTTGATAAAAAGCGATCCCAGAAATAACATAGTGAGGAGTAGAGAAGATGCAAGAGGGCGTACAAATCATACATTTCTCAAAGCGGTATCAAAAATTAAGGTTCAACACTGTTTTCCTACTTACGGAAGAACTACTTTAGGTGGGGCGTAGGGGCATAATTGGGGTGTAGAGCTCAATTAAGGCTAGTTACAGTATGCCACGCTAGGCTTTCGTGGACTTCCGGGACACAAAAATCGGTAGGATCCGGTGAACGACTGCGGCACCCACCGCTGGGAAGCCCGGCCGTTTCCCATTTCGCCCATCATAAGTAGCTCGTCGGTTGTTTGATATATGGTATTATACCAAGTGTACTAATCGAAAGTTGCATTCACTCCTTACCTCTCTCACCTCTGCCTGCCACTGCTTTGTATTGTTAAGAGAGTCTCAAAGGTACTAACTTCGTATCACATCTTTTACATACCCTCTCCAGATATCAATGTGTAGACTTGACGATTGGTAGTTCTACGCAAACTGAGGAATTTTGGTCGTGAATAAATCTCCCTCTCCCTCCCCTGTGATACGGACACTTTGTACAATCGCGTGATTTGTATTACTAGTGCGCATGCGTTGTCAGTACCGCAAAGGAGCTGTATGTAACGACAAATCCGTGGCCAAGTCATCGGTGGTAGAGAGTGAATCTTGTTGCATCAGTCGTTAGTTTACGTTCAAAAGGTAGCAGACGTAAGAGCTAGGGTGCTGAAAGCGTAGGAAAAAGCACTACTCTTTGGACGATTGCTTCCGTTCTTCCATCAGTTGTCGCGCTTTGCTCTTTCGACGTGGAGCATTGTTAACATAATCTTCGTTCTTTTCGATTCTTCCTTCCTCACTTTCTAAATAGCGAATTAAGACATTGGTAGAGTCGGTGAGTCGAGTGACCTCCAAGCTCGTGATGTCGAAATGTCCTCACGACATTGCGTTCGTACTGTGTTTCGTCCATATCGTCCGTCTCTCCAACTGGAGGAGGCAAAGGGAAACTTAGCGAAACAACGCTTTCTGGTTCTTTGCTTTTTGTAGTCTAGGAAGTGATGCAGAAGATGTTAACTAGGAAAGGCAATGAGATCCTACCTCATTCTTTTCTTTGCAGCATCTCCAGCACATAAACAGTACCAATAGAGTCAATATGGTGGCGAGAACAATAATTACAAGTAGAATGACCCACATAAGTACCTGAAACTTTTTGAGCGTTAATCTATTGGTGTTAGTATCACAAACTTTGCCATGTCGTAGTTATTTCAGCACTTTTTAAGGAAATAGTACCGCATTTTAGAGGAGCAAAGTCCTGACCTAGACTTTAGAGTATTCGACTTCATGCGTATGTGAAAATTCTAATGAGTATAGAACGTTAGGTGACAGATCTAATTATATCCTAGAAAACTCCCGGTAAACGCATTTGACGGCAAAACAGATTAGGTTAGGTTAGTCGATGCCGACGCATAACTCGACACCATTGAAAAATGGCGCATAGTTGTGAGTTACGGGCTCAACGTTCCTTGCGTCTGCGCGTTTTGTCGCCTAACGTTTGCCCTCCTCCTAACGCCACAATCCGTTGCTTCCTTCGTGTCGCAGCCATCTTACCAACGAATTCGTAGATTTTTTAAGCAGTTTGCAGCAAGTGAACTTTGTTCAACTGCTGCAAACTGCTTAGAAAACCTCGCCATGAGGTATAATGCTCAATCCCCATATTTTACCTAAGCCAATACCTGCCTCGTGATCATGCATTGCCTTGGGTTGACATGCGATTGACTAGGCGACGGTGTCCGGAAAAAACTTTGATGGTTTTGCTTTCCTGACTGATCCGTTATGTCGATCACAAAGGCACCTCGGGACCACCTAAAATTACGGCAATGTGAAGCTTTCTTCTCAGTAGAAGGAAAACCTCCGGCGGGCAAATGGCGCGAGTCTGCCACTTCGTGCTCTGGAGCGCTCCGGAGCCCCGCCATTTCACCCATCCTGGTGCTCAGGGGCTCTCCCAAATCTGGCGCACTTCCGGAGCAGAGATTTGCGCGTCCCGGAAAGGGGTCCCATTCGTTCACCGTGACGTCACGGTGAACGAATGAGACCCCTTTGGGAAATGGGACTCCCTTCTATGCCTACGTTTGTCATTAATTTGGCGTGCAGAACAGAGAAGATAATCAAGTGAGTGTAATAGCGTTGGTAATACCAGGCTTGGTGCAAGTGTAGTGGTTTGAGGTGCTTCCCACTATATTTGCGGGAGCCGATGAAATGCTGCGATTTACGTTTTCTAAAAGCAAGGAACTGCGGCAAAAAATGCAAACTCCGGCGAAAGTTCCTGTAAACTTGACGGTAGCTGGTGAATTGAATGTTGTAGTGTATCTGTGTCTGATTGACTTGTTATTGGTTTGCATTGCTGGTGTCTATCACCCCTTCGCTATAGATTGTCCCAAAGTTGCATCGTTTCATTTTAATTTTATCTGTTCCATAGTCACACTCGATTATAGAGCCTTTTGGCTCGAGCGTCGTATTGTAAGTAGTATGTTTGACGAATATGAAAAACGATTTGAGGGTCGAATTCATTAGGAGAAGAAGTGTTGCCTGGGCATTTTTAGGCCTCTATAGGAAGGCAGCAAATCCAACGCTTCGAGCCACCTGTTCGCTTTATCTGTTCTTCGCTTTGATATGCACCCTGAAACCTGGCTGGTATCCCAATCACTAAAAAGCTCTACGGATCATCTAGAGACTGCTTGAGCCTAGTCTTTGAAGTTTATCCGACACAACACCTTAGCGACTTCACAGAAGGTATATAAAAAGAATATTCCATCTTTAAAATCCATCCAAACATATTGGGAAACAAAGAAAACGATTTGTCAGCAACATTGAGGGGAAGCAAAGACGCTGCAGTAGATACTTCAAAATGCAAGACATTTTTGAAGACCACAAACAGTGTGAAAGGTGTTTGTGGGATAGATGTAGCTGAGAGCTGAATACAATGTGTGCAAACGTGTGGAAAATGGAAGAGCTGTGCTGGTGCTTGCACAAACGTGAAGTTATATCATCTATCTAAATGCTAGTAAGGAGAACATATGGAGGAAACTAGTAGCGCCGGTGAAACTTGGCAGTTAAATCTCTACCCCTCGAAGTACTCTAATACCCCCCAGTGCGTCACTGGCAACATTAGTCCAAGATGAAGGCGTTTTCTGCAGCAATCAGTTCCATATTTATGGTGATCTGGAGAGGTCGATCTTGATCTTCAACCATATTCTTCAAAAGCACTACGAATCGACGATATCTTAAACCTCCATCATTTTAGCCAGGTTGTACAGGGTCAGGACTTTGCAAAACATCTAGTGACTTTGATAAGCTTGTCACATACAGAATGCATCGCTTAGCCCCCTGGCAGAAATTTATCGGCTACCGATTTGTGTAGGGGCGGAGCCGTATCAGCTCAAACGTGGCGATTTTTGATAGCAAGATTGGAGAAACAATGCATAATGTGGAGGTTTAACGGTCTATCTTTATTAACAAGGAAAGCCCGCAACCCGTTTCTACCCAAATCTTGGAAGCATCATAGGGTCTCAGCTCAATCTGCGAGCAGTCTTCGCATCTTACAAGGGAAGTGTCAGAATTCGCAGGCCTTTGAAATATGACAGGTACCGTCTGAAGCAGCTTGAAACGCCGATTCCAAAAGTGCCCTTTCTACCTGCACAACAAGTCTGGGTCGTAAGTTATAGACATTAGTCACTAGATTTTACATTGTCCAGAAGTACTCTGAGATCTTCTATCAACTGATGTAGCGTAGGCCAAGATTGGTAGATAGATTTATTGGCTTACGTACGTTTCGGCGTCTCCGCCTTCTTCAGAGCCTGGAAACGTCGAAGATATTCACAATCTATCCTCCCAAATGCTTCGTTTTCACCACATCGGTACAACTCAACAGCCAACAGAGCCAAAACAGACGAGAACTGGACAATACAGTACAACGGACAATGTAAAATCTAGTGACATTAGTCACTAGATTTTACATTGTCCAGAAGTACTCTGAGATCATGAGTCGTTTGAATGCCCGAATGTTCAGCACTACAGCAAGACATCGAAAAATAAGTAGGATTACATCGAGCATTGATAGATTGTTTCGGCTGAATTTAAGCGCAAAATATATGGGATTGGTAGTTTTGGTTGCATTCTGCGTGTCGAATCTCATGCAAATTATGTATAATAACTTCGACCCGGATTCGTTCTGCAGCTAAGGAAAGCTGTTCGTTTCAAGCTGCTTCAGATGATACCAATTTCATGACAAAAGGCCACTGCAACTTCCGACACTTCCCTTGTTAGACTTAGTTTCATTGAATATAGAATGAAAGACGTACGAACTGCTAGTATAGGATAAGCCGCTTGCTACGATGACATGAGTTGCAATAAAGCACAAATGGGGTAATCGCTTCCTGCATCAATATAAATGTGTCCATTTACTACTTCCAGTTATCAATAGTATCAATACGTATTAGTCAAGTGAATGTGGTCCACTTGAAGTGGGACTCAGCGCGACATTCTGTTGTTAGCATCAAGACCTTATAATAACGGGCTAAGGGTTGTTTACGTGTTTTTGTGTGTGTGTGTGTGTGTGTCCGTCTGTTACGAAATTCGTAGAGCGTGTTCCAGCCACCGTTCTAAGCCCAAATTTCGCATAGTGCATGCTACCTTCATGAAAGTCCAACATGCAAAAGCACGAGTAGATTCGTTGAGTGGATCCCTCAGAAATTGCGCGCCAAACAGGTCCACCTGGCTTCTGTCCTGCAAAATTGGGTGCGTATCACCACTTTTTGCAAAGTCGTGGATGTGTTTGGTAAGCAAATGTGCAAACGATGGACTTTAGCCCGAAAATTTGTTAAAAGTTTACTATATAACGAAAACAGCGCCAAAAAGGATTGGTTGCGTAAATGGTCAATTTGCCAAGGTTCTAGCCAAGCATTTGAGAAGATTTTCGCACAGAAATGTATCTCGTGGTTACTATTGCATTTATGGCGACTACCAAGCCATGACAAATCCAAAAAACTATCCAAATCTGCGTTTGTCTTCCTGCGAAAAGTTTCATCCACGCGAAATCACCGAACTCACATGAAAAAACTTTCTAAATGAGTAGTTGTTTACATCTTATTCGTGGTAGTCGGCATAGCGCGGTGAGTTCCAGTGAGAAGATTTTACAAGCATGAGCAAGACACATAGATAGTATAGCCAGTGCGAGCCTCTGCGAAGCAGAGGTGACGCACTGGTAATTATAATACTCACGCAATTTAACAGACTAATCTAGTAGCTATGTCACATCAGAATATTAAGTCTTCAGGAACATTGGGCAAAGGCCTGATAGCTTGCTTTCAAACCATTTTTGGAGCATATTCGAACCAAAGAAATTGTATTTTATGGAGCAATGAGCACTAATTCCAACTCTGCCCTCGTTATCTGCGCCTGTGGACGTCTGGTTATGAGCGTTTCTGGAATATTTAACGCAGAATATGAATCAATCCCAGTCCCTACAGCGCCTCTACGGAACAGAGTTGAGTTTGAGTTTGTAAGACAAAAGTATAGATTGCACTGAGTGTTTGATATCCAATAGTGAGCCACTCTTCGCATGCAGTTAACAAGTTAACAAGTAGGGTCATTTAACTATTGAATCTATCAAATTCAAACTTAGATAATCTGTCCTTTTTTTCTCATCTTAATACGAAAAACTTTGGAAGGCAAACTCTATGTAGTTTCCACAAAAGTCGCAATTAGGCTTTATGGTAATTCTTAAATTATCCGTCAACTCTGCTCTCAATGCTCCGCCATGAATTATTCCTTGTATGTGAAGCTCTACGTCGTAAAATTCCTAGAATTCAACACAGGAAGCTTTTTGAAGAGTACGAATTTGTACAGCAAGCCCCCATACTCTGTGTTCTTGTGAAAACAGCATGATTGTGATCTTAAAAGTCTGAGATGTTCTTTCTTCAAAAGTGTTTGAAGAAAGAAATTTTAGTAAAAAGTGACCTGCCTTTACTGTTTGAGTGATAAATACAAAAGAGCGTTCATCTAGATTGGCCACGGCCATATGGTGTTGTAAACTGCGGCCGCTAATGCGGATAAATCTTGCCAAGCTCCTTACAGTTATGAGTGTATTTTTCAGTTTCTTGTGAACCTCGGAGAGATCACACAGAGCGTTCGGACACTTTTGAAATTGACATATGAAAGAATCGCTTACAGACAGAATTTTTTTCTAGGAATGCTCTAAATAACAGCGGCTCAATCATCCTTGGTTTAGGCATGATATGCTGGCCATATACGATCCAAAGAAAAGGAGGAAGGCTAGTGATGTGAGTTGTTTGTGTAGACAAGATTGTTTATTATTGCGTATATTCTTTCAGGGAAAAAAAGGGATCAGGACCCAATGATGCATGCTGAAAAGAGGATCAAAATAGGAAATGCTTATTGCATCGCTGTCAGTCTGTGATTACTAGAATGTTCTCGTTCTGTGTACATGTTCTGACTTTTTTCTTGCGTCTGTTTGTTTCATGCGATCCAGTCCGTGTTAATAAAGATATGGATGTTTCCATATTGCTCTTATACAAACTGGGAAGTGATACGAATTGGATAGAATGGACATGGACAATGTCCAAAAAACGGTTACAGTGACCAGGCTATCATCCACAATGACCCGGCCACCAGCCATGCTTCGAAGACAGGGTGAGCGGCATGTCGAGCGGCCGAGCGGACTGTGGCGAGATTGGCGAGTGAGCGCTCACAATGATCATGCAAGCGGTCGTCAATACCGGCTGGGGGCACGCGTTTACCAGACGAACTGGAAAAGTTGAATCCGCTCGGTCGGTACTCTTGTCCGAGCAAATGCGATCTCAAAATGACCAATCCAGTACCACACTAGTAGTGTACTTCTATGCAAGGTTGAGGCGAGCAGGGCTTTGTTACAATATTCAAAACAATTTTATAGCGATTCGTTCATTCACGCTTCCCTTCAAGTATTCATAGAGAAATGTGCGCAACTCCCCTTTCTCCTCTATGTTCAAGCGTGGGAGTTGAAGCGAAGCAAAAAGACCTCTCAAGACACCAGTTCTACTTTCTCTTCGACGTTTTACTGGGTGTAAATAAGGGCGAGCGAGAGAGAGTGCATGGTATAAAGGGGAAACTTTTGGTAGAGTTACTACAGTGAACAACAATGAGCACTACTCATTTCCTTTTCGCACTGATCTTCACCGCCACCACCGGGTAAGTCATCAATTGCTAGAATTGACCCATTTGCACTGAAGCAAAAGTTCGATTTTGGCTGGTACCCAGGCATTGAACTAAGTTTCTTTCTCTTAATTTTCTCCAAAGTAATCAACATTCCGAATTCGCGATGTATAAAAAAATCATGTTTTCGTTTTTAGCGTTGTGACAAGCTATCCGTATGGACTGGTCGGAGGTTAGTTGGTTTTGCAAGAACATTCATTGCATACAATGTCGTTTCTTCCAGCATGAATTGTAGCGAAATTGCTTAGACACAATTTTTTCCTACACTCCTTGTACAAGTTTTGTGCAGGTGTTCCTGTTGTTCATGCTGCTCCCTTACTTGGACGTCCAATCGCGTTTTCAAATGGACCTATCTTCACGTCATTAACTCCTTCCCTCGTGAGCGAAAATTTTCAATATATAAAATAAAAGAACAGAAAAGCTTACCTAGTCTCCGTTTTGTTTTCCTATCACTATTCCTGTTTCGTACGAAAAATTTTCAATGTGCCACTCTTCTAGCACCCTATTTACGGTACACCAAGCTTGGAGCTGCGAAACATCATACGTTCTAACGATAGAGGTGATTTCTCACACTTTTCTTCTCGTAGAAGTTCGCATTGAATTTCAGATACTATTCACTTCTCCAAGACTCTGCACCGTTCGTCAGCCTTCCCATTCCAAAAGAAGAATCTTCAGATATGAAGTTTATAACCGCACTGCATTGATTCTTGAGATGTATATGGCACTTCTATCAGTAAAAACACTGTTAAAGTGCCTTGTCTCTTTCCTCTTTGAGTAGATGCGTCAACACGATTTTATTGCTATAGATTCAGATGCATGGAAATCAAGAATGTCCTTACGAAAAAACTGCGTCATCGTCGTGAATTGCGAGAGAACAGAAAGAACACGCTTTTTACTAAACAACAACCAAGCGAAGTGGTAATTAGGAAGTAGTTATTGTGATTATACAGTGATTGGTTGCGTAATTGTGGTCAGAAAAAGGAATTAGAAGCACTTATTTCAATGAACAACTTGGGTAAAAGGAGAATATGGGAAACTACAGAGAGTTAATACTGCGGGAGAAATAAGTGTAGAGATTTGAGCAATTCATTGACCCCACTCGGCTCTGGCAAAGGCGAGAAAAACATAGATTCAAGACTCCCAGTTTGGCTGCAGAAGAGTCAACTCAGATCCTTAGAAAAAATTGAAAATGACATGCTGTTCCATTTTAGGCCCCGGGCAGACTTCACGCGATTTGATCGTCGCGACTGAATCGCGACGAGACAACTGTTACAACATCATTCCATGCTGATCAACTTGCATTCGGTTGTGATACTTTTACAGACCGAAATTTTTGAATGTGAAATGAAAATGAATGGAAAAGTCGGCGATTGAGTCGCGACGATCAAATCGCGTGAAGTCTGACCGGAACCTTAGGCTAGACATTCACTAAAATATTTTTAACAGCGGACTAGTCTGTTGCGGCGTTGTGCACTATATTAGGTTTTTATTAGTGTGCAGCAGCGCGTGCTTAAAGGCAGTGTCCGGGCAAACGATTTTGAGATTTTGTGCTTACCTGGGCCTATTCGCTATGCTGAATCCGAAAATCCACATTGGAGAGCGCGAAAACGACGAAAAAGGGCTGTAACACTGGAGGGAAATCAGCAGGTGGGCGGGGCTTTCCCCAGTGCGATTTCACGCTCGCAGCTTCCGGAGCGATTTTCTCGATTCCGCTAGCCGTCCTAACATCGTTGCCGGTCAAGTGCAAATGATTGACTTGAAACCAGAAGCGAGAAGGTCGTTCCGGAAGCCAGGAACGTGAATTCGCGGTGGGGAGGACCCCGCCCACTTGCTAATTTTCCTCCAGTGTTAGAGCCCTTTTTCGCCGTTTTCGCGCTCTCCAACGTGGATTTTCGGATTCAGCATAGCAAATAGGCCCGAGTAAACACAAAATCTCAAAATCGAGTTTCTGGCCGGACACTGCCTTCAAAGGCACCGTCCACTCAAAACGGGGTTGATGAGATTTTGATGCCTAGCAGTAGTGGGGACCCCAACTGCATACTTTTCCAACTCGCGCTGGTAAAAGTTGCTAAGCGAAAAAATTGCCTCGAAAATCGCTCGGGTAACAATTTCGCCACGTTGGTTACTCCCCTTTAAGTGGGCGTAACGTCATCCATCCGTGCGCACCCAACCAATCACCGTTCCGGAGAACTCGTCTGCGGGTTCTGGAAACGGGGGTTTTTCAAGGTTTTCGCGAATTCTCGATTTGATATTCGAAATCAGAGGTATGAGAAGGCCCTGGAACGGCAAAAGCATGGAAGTCCAAAATTTGAGTGGACGGTGCCTTTAAGATCTCGTGAGAAAAATCAATAGCCAGCTTGTTGCGTTGCTTTGCTATGTACAGTCGTGTGACTATAGTCGTGACTATAGTCCGTGCGGTCAAAGATTCAACTATATACTATTGCCCCAGTATTTTACAATGAATTTGCCAGCGTTTTAGGTGTAGCAATTTGTTCATGCACAAATTTTGCAGCAAAATTTCGGCCATATTTACCCAAAAATCAACCAACTGCTTAGAAATTCGCGATCATGTCCTCAAGATCTGCCCACAAAATGAGAAACCGAGAGAAATCTTTAGTTTGACCTTGTTTCGAGTTTCGGGAAAACTTCTTCAGTTTATCTTATTTGGCAACATGCACATAATTCCCTAAAAGATTCCACATTTCTCAGCGTATACCTGGTATATGCGTTAAAGTGTTGAGCGGTGGTGTACAATATGGATGCAAGCAAGAACATCGACGCTGCTGCAAGTGGACGCAGTAAATTTGTCAGGTTTTCACCACGTTTTTTTCGGATCCTCTTTAGATGCTGTGCTCATCAGATGCTCACTGCCCAACCGGCAGCTCAGGTAGTGCTCCAACGGCTGAGATATTCCCCTCGAAACTGGACGCCGCGATCGTACCACGCATGGATTCATGGCGCAAAGCGTGAATCTTGATGCGAAATTACCATGAATACATGTGAATACGATCGCGGGGTCCAGTTTCGAGGGGAATATTTCAGCCGTTAGAGCACTACCTGCGCTGCCGCTTGGGCAGTGACTTAGTTAGGCCCTCAAAAGTACTTTCCACGTAAAATCCCCATAGGTCCAGATCTGCCTGGACGCTGCCTTTAATGTGCTTCGCGGCTTTTAAGGATGTCAAAATCTCTTTGATGAAATTAGGGGCGGGATTGGAGATAGTGCACTCTAAAAAGGTAAGCTAACAGAGTTCAAATGGCTGGAGAAGCTTCAATCATTTCGGCAGCATACTGGTCAGTATCAGTCATAGGTATGATAGTCTAGAATTAGTACCCTCTGAAGTGTAGCGGATCTCAGCTATATTTGACCCTCAAAAATGAAAGGGGTCCAAAAAGTGCCCTTGTCAACCTGCGGGAGGGTAGTGAAAGGGGAGTTGGGAGAAGAGCGATAGCACATTTCTTATTTAGTTGCAATTTGAAAATAAAGAACTTTTTTCATTCACTTTCTATCTTATTTATTTGCTTACTTCCTTCATTTTTTGCATTTATTTTATTAACCCACCCGGTTAGAATGGCCTGCAAGCTCTTGTAGGACAAGACACAACTGTCACGAAAAATTCTGTAAGTGTTCTTTGAACAAGAAAATTTTGCACATTACATTAACACCTTTCCCATGAATAGAACGACATATTCGAGTCAGAAGCAAATAAAGAGAATTACTTTAAATTCACAATCTTTGAGCATGCTCAAAAAACCTAAATACTTACTTCAAACTTATAAAAGTGCGTTTCGTGACCTCCCTTTCTGAGCAAAATTCGCGCTGATTTTATTTTCGCGAGATTTTCGGATTTTCGTGGTTGCATTTTCCATGAAAATCAAATCTGCTCTCGATCAGCACGAATTTCGCTCATATAGAAATTGTAGGTCACAAACCCATTTTTATGACTGTTTCCTCCTCTGCTTTGAAGTATTAGGTTGGCACATAAGTAATGCAACTTTTTATATAACTTTTGTCTCTTTGAACGTAACGCATTCATTTTTTGGCAATATAAGGATTATGATGTAAGCTTCTAATGCACACATTTTTGCCGAATTTTACCATTTTATGTGGGGATTACGGTAGGTTTACGGTACTGTGGAGAAAATTTTAGAATGCATCAGATTTTGCTGAAACTGGACCTATAGGGCTTATTTGACATGCTGATCACAAAAATGAGATCCGTTTCGCATGAAAAGGCCTCGTTCGTAAGATCAAAAAATAAAATTTATTTTACCGTCAAATGAATATGGTATTCGTGTTCACGGTATAGGATTACCCTATAGTGCAAAGTTATAGCAAATTCTGACTTTTCGCAGCTTAGTTATTAAAATTGCCTTCAAAACTTGACGCATTTGACTTGTTCAACTTCTCAAAGGCGCCCCACCTTGATTTGCGTTTAGCCTCATTTCTTTTTTACTGATTCCAATGTGTCCACTTCTAGCTACATGCTGCCTATAGTTGCTTTTTGATATGTTTGGTTCAGGTTTCGTAGGGCTTCATGATTGCCAAAAAACCGTGAAACCTCGATTTTTAGCAGATTTCGAAAAATGCTTAGATTTTTCGTACTACATTATCAAAAATCAAACGGTTTGCGCAAACTTGCAGCTTACATCACGGTCTACTTGTTGCCACAAAATGAGATTGCTACATAAACTAAGAGAAAAGTTACTGGAAAAGTTGCAAAACTTATGTGCCAACCTAATATTTAGGTTTTTTGAGCATGCTCAAAAATTGCAAACTTGAAGTACTTCTCTTCACTTGCTTCTAATTGTTACTAGGTTGTAATAATTTTGTACACTTGAAGGAAAAAACCTTCATAACTTTTTCCAAAGATTTCCTCTCATTTCCAAATTGAGTGGAGGGCTGTAACTTTTCAATATACAGGGTGTCCCAAAAAGATGTGCACACTATACTTGGGTAATTCGACAATTTTTCATCGAATGAATGAATATAGAATAAATTTGGAAAGAAAAAATTTCGAATAAACGAGTATCGAATAAATTCGAAAATGAAAAATCTCGAATAAACGAATATCGAATAAATTCGGAAAATCAAAAATATCGAATGAATGAATTTCGAATAAATTCGGAAAATCAAAAATATCGAATGAATGAATATCGAATATATTCGAACATTGGAAGTCGAATTTCAAATAGCCGATCCAATCATAATCAGCCCCCTAGTATTCTCTATACCAACTCCTAGCTCAAAATTTTCCAAAAATTGATGAAATCAATAAAATAGATTTCGATTTTAGTCAGCACCCTCACTTACCCCCTTATACCAACTCCCAGCCCCGCAGCTCAAGATTTTCCAAAAATCGATAAAGTCGGTCGGCAGAGGTCGGCTAGTCTATACATCAGCAAAAAGTCATATTTTACCCATTATTGGACGATCCAAAAAAGCAGTCGATATAAATTTTTGTGCTGTCCAAAAGATTCTTCTTCGTATAGTCTGAAAGACTGATGTACACCAGAATTAACTTTATTTCTTAAGCATCAACAATGTAAAAGCAAAGAGCTTGCTCTACTTTCTACGTGATTGGGATACTTTTCTTCCACGTACTGTACGAATATATGATGGACATATGCGAAACATTATGCTTCTTCCATATCAGGATTAACAATGTAAAAGCAAAGTGATG